CCCCCCCCCCCCCCACACACACACACAATGGGCAGGGCTGGCTGTTAGTGGTCAGTCCCCGGGCAGCCGTGGAGAGGCAGGGATTAGCTGGGTAAAAGCTAGAGTTAGTGCGAAGAAGCTAGAGGTTAAGCCCAGAGAGGCCTTGAGCCTACTGGAGGTGAGGCATGAAATCACCCCCAGGTGTGGCCCTGGCTTTAGCAGCTGGCGGGCTCTGGGGGAGGCTGGCTGGGGCAGAGGCATGGGCGTCCACCGGACAAAACATAAACAGCTGGTATGACTCCCCCCAGTGGCCTTTGAGCCCCTAGGATTCACGTCCCGGTACCTAGTCCCCCTTCCAGTAAGCCCCCCAACGGCCTGTAGGGACACTTCCCCAATCTGGACACCACGCTGACTAACTGGCCGTCTGTCCTTTCTAAGCGTGAGGCCGACGAGTCTTTCTAAACACTTCCTGAGGGAAAATATCCTCACACCTACTTCCTGTGTGAAAATGGTCCCGCATCTCCTTCCAGATTGAGATTTCCACCCCTCCCCGTGGGAAGGGCCGCTCTAGCTGTGTGAAGACCCTTCTCCCTGGTCACTGGCCATCTCTCCTCACAGTGTCCAGGTGCTGTTTCCTCGGCCTTCACTTGGGGAATGCCTGACTCTGTTCTGCGGTTTTCCAGGGAAAGGTCCCTTCACATACTTCCTACTTAGGAAACTCACGTACAGCTTCCAAGTAGGGTATGAGACTCTGTTGGCTTCGGGTTCAAACACACACACCCTTGAGCTCCTGTCCAAGATGGCCAGCCCCCTGGGATCCCTACCCCCTTTCTCCCTGGCCTAAATCACAGAGGGCCTAGGCTAATGAAGGCCCAGAATTGCCCACTCTAGACCCCCAGGCCCCACACTGGCTCCCACAAGATCCCCTGGTCCCATCCACTCCTAGTGGCAACCAGACCCGTGCACAGAGGAGAGAGGTCATGCTCGGAGCCCAGCGTCCCACAGCTACAGGACAGGCCTCCTCCTCCTCCTCCTCTGGGCATCATTAACATGGCTGTCCCCCTGCCTCAGACCTGGCCTGGTCAGCCTGGGGGACATCTGTCTGCCAGTAGGAGGGACCAGCCCCCGGGAGGCCCAGAGCTCGGCAGGGCTGGATTAGTTAGAGAAACCGGTTAGTAGGGCCAGGTTAGTAGGTCAGCGCACAGCACCAGCAGACGGGGCACCTCAGCGAACACACACAGGAGCCACTAGGAGAGAAGAAGGCAGCAGGGCCGTGAGTTAGTTAAGGGGCGGCAGGGTGCGGGTGGGGTGTGCCCCGGGGTTAGACAATTAGTAATCAAAAGAGCTTGCCTATGGGAGAGAAAGCTGGCAAGAGGCGGGGGAGAACCGGAAGAGACGGTTAAGGGTTCAAAGCACATGTCTGCCCCAGGCAGAAGGGTCTGTGTGCAGAACCCCCCCGCGGTCAGGGGATGGACGTATCACCGAGTTCCCTGCAGCCTGCCCTCACCCTGTCTTTTTCCATTTTGAGGTCCCTGCAAGGGCAGCAAAGCCTTGGTTGCCCTACCACAGGCATCCGGGGGAGTAGAAGAGATCCCATCCCACCCCGGGGGGGTGGTGGGGGGAGCAGCTCGGAGAGAGAGGGCAGGTGACTGGCACACAGTCTCCAGCAGCAAGTGGCAGAGTTGGTAAGTCTCTCAGCACGCCCTCGCCCTGCAGGATGGGTCTGCACATAGATCCCAGGCCCCAGGCAGGGCCTTCCGGAGCCTCGTCCGCCCCGGCCTCTGGGAGTTAGTGGGGTTCGGGCTGCCGCAGGGTTAGTAGGACATGCTCGGGCCAGGTTAGTGGATTAGTCATCTGACAGAAGGCCAGGCATCTCGTCGCGTGCCACAGCGTCCTGGCCGAGCCCTGGGTTGGTTAGTAGGTTAATCACACCATGCAGCCCTCCCCTTTCATCCCCCCCCCCCACACACCTACCACACAGTCCCATCCCCACCAGCTTGGGCATGAGGGCCTGACCACGGCAGGGGGTCTGCCTCTGCACCCCTCAACGCCCCTCCCAGGGAATCAAGCCTGACCTCAGTGACCCCCGGTGGAAGCCCAGAGCTTCCGTTTCTCTGTTGTGGATCTCAGAGCCCCACAAATACTCTAGCACTGCTGAAAATGTGTCCTGCTTGTTCTCAGTGCAAACCCCCTGCCTGGTTGTGGCCAGCCCCTTCCCAGAAGGATCTTCTCACACACACACACACACACACACACACACACACACACACACACATGCATGCACACCCACGCACCCACACATCAGCATCTTTCCACCAAACATCTAACCCATCCACCCCAGAGCTGCCATGCTTGAAAATACATCTCTTCTATCACCAACTCCCAGGCTTCTCACTGCTCCCACCACTGGCCTGGCCTGCCTTCCTCCACAAACACTGCAAGGAACCGGCCTGAGTCCTAAAATGAAGCTTAGACGCCTCCCCCTCCCCCATACCCCCATTTCCCTTCCTTCCCAGGCACCCCAAGATGCCCGAGGATGCCCTGGCTGTACCACCTATCACTCTTGGCACTCCTAAGGACCAACCTGTGTCTCCCAGCATTCTAGACAGTGTTCGGTAAGAAAATAATTCTGCAGCCAGCAAAAACGGGGACACAGTTCCTCCTCCTATCCCTCCCTGAGTATCTGAAGTATGCTCACTGGCATTGTCGGGGCTCTGAAAAAGTCCTGCTTTTTGCTTTAATTTCCTCCCCCAAAGCACTCAGTTAAACTGTACCTCTCTCATCCCCCAAGGCCCTGGTTGGGTCAGCCTGACTAGGAAGCCCCTCCGGAGAGCCAGAACTGGGGTCTCCCTCGCACCCCGGGGCCTCCGCTGACTGCCCATGGTGTACTTCTTCCTAGGTACTCTTTCCCTCCCAAGTGTCTGAAGGACGGCTGGACAGCACCGGTGCCCAAACTGGCTCACAGCCAAGAGCCAGAGTGGACTCCATATTGGCAGCAGGAAACATGACTCCTTCCCTTCCGGAAAACATGGCAAGTTACCACGGAGACCAATGGCGGCTGCAGCCCCAGGCTTGTTGGGAAGGCAGGTGGGGTGGCCCAGCCAGGAACGCCTCTGGATCAGTAAGCACCCTACCTAGATGCACCCTCAACCTAACCTCCCTAAATCCCCACATAGACACGACCGTAGGGAGCACCTACTAAGAGCCCAGGACTGAGCCAGGCACAGGAGCCCTGTGAAAGCTGCCGGGGCCACCAGGAGAGCAGCCGGCCCACATGACAAAGTAGAAATCAAGGCGACTTGTACAGCAGAGGGTGCCCCGGGGCCTGAGCTGGTTCTGCACTGGCTGCAGCCACCATGTTCCCAAGTTCCCTGGCACAGCACCTGTAACTCTGTACCCATTTTACATTCATCTGCTCCTCCCTATGTGGGGAATTCTGGAGGGCAGATGGCTCTACCTATTCATGTTTGTGGGACCACCCTGTTAAGAGTCCAAATTGTGTCCCCCAAGAGGCACAGGCTGAACTCCCTAGCCGCTATGGGAAGGTATGGAGAGACAAGACCATCAAGGGTGTACTTAAGCCCAGATGAGGTCATAAGCCTAGGTCCTCAAATGGCAAGACTGTGACCTTGTGGGACAAATCCCTGGAGCCCACTTACTCTGGATTCAGAGAAAGGCCACACAACATAAAGCTACTTCTGGCACCTTGATCTTGCTCTGCTGGCCTCAAGCCCAGGGGAGGGGAAGGCGGGGCGTGGGTCTCTGGTGCTGAGCCCCACAGCCTGAGCCGATAAATACACAACCCTTCCCACCCCAGGGAAAGGGCTTTCTAGGCTGTCCCGAAGAAGGCTACATACTGCAAAACCATCTCCTCCAGGAGGGACCGTGACCAGAGGTGGACAATGGACGGGGGTGGGGGGTGGGGGGGGGTGTCATACTGGGACACTTCACCCTGAGCAGGGGTGCAGATGTCTGCCAGTCTCAGCCCCTCCGCAGCTACTCAACACAGATGGGGGTGCTGGCTGAGTAGCCCCATGTCCTGGGCAAAGGCTCTGCAGCCCCTGCAGACTGGGGGCAGCCCACTCTCTAGTGACTGAGGAAGTTGGAGCTGTGAGTCTGCCAGTAAGCCTCCCGACTAGGTCTCCTTATCTCAGGACTCACCCTTTCTGGAATGCACAAAGGCTAGCCAGGCTCCTCCCAGACCAGGATTGGCTGTCCACCACAACCAACCAGGAGCTAAGCCTCACCCAGGAAGCACCCAAACAGAACCATCACTCAAGCAGCAAACAGACCAAAGGAAGAAAAACAGACAAAAGACAGACATCAGGCTCCTTCCCAGCAGCTCCTCCTCCATGCCCATGGAGTCCCTGCCCTACCCACAGGTCCTTAGGGGGGGCTCAGGTGGGGCTCCACCCCACCTCCAGACACTGGAGGAGGATTCCAGTCCACATGGGATCAGGAGGGGCCTCCAGTGCCCCAGGACTCTAAACTGCAGCCTCTCCCACCCTGGATCTGTCCATCAAAAACAGGGTGGATGCTAAGCAGTGTTATCTTCTAGGTGTGGCTCTTCTCCAGGGGGCTCCATCTCTGGCACTGGCAAGGACAGGATCTTCAGGGAGACAGGTTGTTCCCCAGTTCCATGAGGTCAGAATCCAGGGGATCTCCAGGGCTCCAAAGCAGACCAAGGTCTGGAGACACGCAGAGCTATCTGAGGGAGACACAATGAAAGATGGTGAGGCACCCCAGATACCCCACTCTGCGACCTGTGCTCCCGACACACACGTGCGGCAGAACAGAAAGCTTGGGATACGAATCTTTTCCAATAAACTTAGAGAGGAAGGTGGGGTTCACTCAAAGGATCAGCAGAAAGCCAATGGCAGGTGGCCCAGAGTGACTCCAGGGGCCGAGAAGCGGCCAAGTGCAGGAGGAGAGAGACCCCAGAGTCCCCAGTGGTCTGAAATGAAACCCTATGTACACCCCACCCCAGACGGACACATATACTCCACAGGACAGAAAACTCACCCCCCTCGCTGAGCTGTGGTGATGCGTTTTCTTACTTGAAGACCTCAGGGGAGAGGACCATGTCTCTGTCATTCACCTCTGGACACCCAGCATCTCCTTAAAGAAGGTCAGGTTCGTATCTATGTGAGATGATGACCCCCCCGCCCCCGGCCCAGAGCCTGTGGGGTTCAGATCACTCCCCTCCTCCCCACTGAGGCCATGCACAGCAAGCCTTCTGCTTCTGGCTCCCAGGCCTCCTCAGAGGCAGAAAGGCTCTGGTCATGGGATGTGAGAGAGAGGACCACCCACCCTCCTAAAAGGAAGCAAGCCTCTCACTCTTACCTGACTTCATCGCAGGCCTAGCTCCTAGCTCCTCCCACACGGACATCACAGGATGACTCTGGGAAGACAGAAGAGCCAAGCCCGGCACAGGAGAGGACCACACTCAAGGCCTGCTTTGGGCCCAAGAGCCACCCTGCCTCCTCCTTCCCTGCTACCCAGAGCATCCTTCACAAACATGGGCACATGGTGGTTTCCTTTGCGACCCAGGAAAACTCACAGGAAGCTGGGCAGCTTAGGGACAGCGGAAAGGGGAGTCCTGACAGAGTAGGGGACTGGAACTCTGACCTCAGTACTGATGCGGTCACTGGAAGCCTATGCCTCTGTCTGGACCCAGGGACACATCCCGCCCTGTCACACACAAGGGCCATTCAGGGCAGTGGCCAGGAAATGACAGCAGCTCTTCAGCCCACCTCAGCCCCCCACCCTTCCGTGACTCCCACAGCAGAGAACATGTCTGGAGCCAGAGGGCGGTACAGGGCTCAGCCAGGCCACTGTAAGTCACCAGGATGGAGAAGATGCCCTGAATCTCAACCCAGCACTCAGATTTGCTCTTTTCTGACAATTATACTACATCTGTCCTCCAGGGCCTGAGTCGGGGACGGGGAGGCATCTCGGAGCCGGCTGTCACAGGAGCCTAGAGCTGAGTGGAGACAATGCGTCCCGTGGGAAACCCTGCAGAGGTCTCCATGTGTCTGCAAGACCAAGGAGTCTGTCCAAGTTTACAAATGCCATCCTCAAGAGCCAGAGTCATACACAGGATATCCACCCTCCCTCTTGGGGGTTCCAGAGCCAACCCTCCTTCACAGATGCACCAGCAGAAAGCAGGCTGGTGCAGAGGGGGCTGGTGAAGGGATACTTATCTGTAAGGCTGCTTCGCAGGGTGCCTGTGACCCTTCCCAATTCCCTATTCTCTTCTGCGACCTGGGAACCAGCAGGAACTCTGCAAATAAACCCACAGCGACCCTGTCACAGGGTGCGGACCCAGAATCCCGGTCATTGTGGGGACAGTGGAGTCAGTCTTCCAGGGAACCCCAGCTATGACTGGGGTGACTGGGTCTCATAGCATAGAAAGGAAGTCATAGGCCGGGCGGTGGTGGTGCACACCTTTAATCCCAGCACTCGGGAGGCAGAGCCAGGCGGATCTCTGTGAGTTCGAGGCCAGCCTGGGCTACCAAGTGAGTTCCAGGAGAGGCGCAAAGCTACACAGAGAGACCCTGTCTCGAAAAACCAAAAAAAAAAAAAAAAAAAAAAAAAAAAGAAAGGAAGGAAGTCATAGGTTTGGAAGCCAGAGAAAAACAGGGTGAGGCTATGGCTCTCCAATCCCACGTTCACAATGTGTGACTCTGAGCTGTTATTCAGGAAGTTTAGGCGGGATTATTACCAATCAGTGACTTACACTCAGAAATACAGAGCATGGCCCCTCAGCCTTGAGAATAAACGCAGAAACACAGTGGCACCCACCAGGCAGCAAAAAAGAGTTGGTTATTGACACACCCTGGACAAACCACACAGGCCCTGCTAAGAAAAGACAGGTCCAAGCTGTATGTGGTAGTACTCTCCTGGAATCCCAGCATTTGAGAGGCTGAGACAGGAAGGTCATGAGTTCAATGCCAGCCTGGGCTGAATAATGAGACTGACTCTCTCTCTCTCTCTCTCTCCTCTCTCTCTCTCTCTCTCTCTCTCTCTCAAAAATTAAAAATAAAAACTAAGAAGATGGGCAGTGGAGGTAGCCAAATTTATACAAAATGCCCATAGAAGGGAAATGGGGGTGACGGAACGCAGGTTATTGCTCTTCATGGCCCGGTATGGAACAGGAATGGGTTCCCAGGTTTCGGGGATCTGACTAGGGCAATGGACATGTGATGATGTCATTAATCACAGCTGCAGGACTTGGTAACTGTGATTAAGATCTCTGGGCTGGCTGGGTGGTAGTGGCACACACCTTTAATCTCAATACTTGGGAGGCAGAGGCAGGTGGATCTCTGTGAGTTTGAGGCCAGCCTGGTCTATAGAATGAATTCCAGGACAGCTAGGGATACACAGAGAAACCCTGTCTCAAAAGAAAAAAAATTTCTGGGGTGCATCCCTGAAACAGAAAGTGATGCACTGTGATAAAGCTGTACAAAAAAGGGCTGAGCTACTGAGTTGGGGGGATGGGGGGTACATAGAGGCACAAGCCTGACGTGCAAGGGGGTCACAGCCACCGGCCCTCTGAAGGCTGAGCCTAGGAGCAGACGCGTAGGCAAGGGACACGCACAAGTTTCTTTTGCTTTTCATTTCTTTTGTTTTTTATTTTTAGCTTCTTAAAATTTTTGTGTTTGAGTGTTTTGCCTGCATGCATGTCTGTGTACCATGTGTGTGCAGTATCTGGGAAGGTTGGAAGAGGGGGTCAGATGCCCTGAAATTGGAGTTATATACACAGCTGTGAGCTACTATTTGGGCTGCAAATCAAACCCGGGTCCTCTGCCGGAGTGACCAGTGCTCTTAACCACTAAGCCACCTCTCCGGCCCCTGTTTTTTAATTTCTTAGACTCTCAAATAGCCCAGGCTGGCTTCAAACTCACTGTGCAGCCAGAGTTAACTCTGAACTTCTGATCTTCCTGTGCCCACTCCCCAAGTGCTGCGATTATAGGCCTGTGCTACCACATCTGGTTCACACTGTGCCGGGGCTCAAATCCAGGGCTTCATGAATGGTAGCTAAGCACTCTACCTGCCCCAAACCCATTATTTTGTACGCCAATTTTAAAAAAAACAAGCTAATTGCACCTCTATGGCATTATTTTCTACAAAAGATAATCATGCATTACAGAAGGATTGGAGCTGAGAAGTTCATGGTCAAAGGTTGTGTGGATTGTGGACCTGGCTCGTGGCTCTGCCCCTCACACACCAAAAGCCAAGATGAGGAGCCCCCTATGGAAGGTTTGACAAAGGACTAGTACCCAGAAGACATAGGTCCCTCCTACCTTGAGGTTCGGAAGGCTCAGTCCCCCGTGATTGTCAAGACAGAGCCAAGTGGATGAAGCTGTTGGTCTCTGCCACCCCGCATCCACGCAGATGAAAACTTGCTTCGTCCCCAGGTGCCACCGAGACCCGGCAGCCATGTGCACATGAACAGACGGGCCTCACAGCTATCAGACACAGAGACAGACAGACAGACAGGAATGAAGAGTGGGTATACGCTGGACACACTGGAGAGCCATACCAGCGCCGGCCACACCACCACAACCCTCAGAGAGAGGGGGAAGAGCATGGACGCTACACCAAAACTTCCATGCAAGAAGCACAGAACCCAGAGCAAATCCATCATTACTTTGTGCTTTGGATTTGTGTCTCTCCCTCCTTCTCCCTCTGTGTGTGTGTGTGTGTGTGTGTGTGTGTGTGTGTGTGTGTGTGTGCGCGCGCGTGTGCGCGCGTGGTGTGTCTGTCTGTCTGTCTGTCTGTCTCATGTAGCCCAGGCTGGCCTCAAACCCACTCTCCCCTCCAACTTGAGATCTTCCTTTCTCAGTCTCCCTGTCCACAGAATGAGGGTGAGAGCAATGTCACTATGGCTATCACGTGAGGCGACGGGACTGGCCACCAGCCCTCCCACCACCACCTTCTTGGTGGTGTGGCACTCGACGACAACGACAGGGCACACTCATGCCGCCCGAGCAATGCACACGGTTCCTGTAACAGTGACGAGCTGCCAGGGCTGCAGGCCGAGGGCTGCAGCTAGGGTCCCAATGTTGCTCTCTCCCCTGCTCTTTCGGCTGCTCGCATTTCGGAAGCAAACGACGAGAGCCGACGAGAGCCGCTGGCCCAAACTGCCGTGGAGGCTCCGGTGCCCTGAGCTCCCGCAGCCCCTGGGAATGTAAGACTGAGTGGAGCCTTCCAGGGATCTGCAGGCGGTGACTTGAGCAGGGGACAGAGCATAAAAGGGAGTGCCTGGAGCCAGAGGAGTGGGGGGAAAGAGCAAAAGCCAGGAGGGACCTGGATTGTGATCCCCGTTCTACCTGAGGAGACCGGAGTGCCTGGCTCCCACCTCAGGAGGGAGCGCGACCTCCGGGGCTCTGAATACAGACGGGATGAATGAGAGAGACCCACAGACATCCTCATGTCTAATGTCCATCTGGGGTCAGTTTACTGCAGCTGCTTTCATGGCCCCAGGGTAACTCATTGAGTCCCCCTTTGCAGGGACAGGTGGCACCACATCAATCACACACATGCTAGATCCAGGTTTGAAATCTGGCTCCAAACTAAATTGCTGTGCGACCTTTAACGGGTCACTTTAACTCTCTGAGCCTCTCTTTTCACACACACACACACACACCCAATATCTAAGTGCAAGATTATTATTTGGGCGGCGCGGGGGTGGGATGGGGGGGTGGGGGGGAATCCTATGTAGCCCAGGCTAGCCTGACTTTGCTATGTATCCAAAGCTAACTGTGAACTCCTCATCCTCCTGCCTCCACCCTCCCCCCCCAAGTGCTGAGGTCACAAACACATGCCACATCCCAGCGCTAAGCAGCTTATCTTCAGATGTCCACAGAGTGGCCATGCCAGGGTAGCTAGGGTTCCTTTTCATCTGTCTCCTACTCCGCGCCCTCAGAGGGACACAATGGCCAAGACCCTCATTCCCTTTGGCTCCTCCAGAGGGACCACCTGGCACCCAGAGGGAGAGGGGACACCTGCCTCATCTGAGCTCATCAATGCAGAAAGGGATGAGAGACAGATGTCACCCTCAGCCTGCCGGTGCCTCTAAACATCTTGACTATTGTTTCGCAGATTGACATGTGAGCCAGGCCTCAAAAGCGGGGGGGTGGGGGGTGGGGGGGTGGGGGTGGGGGGGTCCCCTGGGAACAGAGGGCTGAGCCTCAAGCTATTCTCTGGCCCATTGAACCTGCACAAAAGGCCCAATGCCCTGAAGCGTACTGGTCAACAGCAGAAGGTCATCCTGAAGGGCAGCAGGGCCATACAGGTGCCACAGGAGTGAGCTGGCCCAGCAGGTGCATAACGGAGTCTGTCCCCAGTACGGGCGCCTGACACTGGTTCACAGCCAACCGCCCCCCCCCCACACCCAAGAATATGACCCACACGACAGCTGAAGAGACTGAGCTGGGAAACTCCTTCCTGACTCGGACACGGGTGGGGAGGATTCACACACAGACCTCGCTCTCAGCCCTTTCTGTCTCTCCAAAACTCCTGTGAGTACACTTGGGGGTGGTGTGAACTGGGCCTGGGGGCCTGGGGAAAGCCATCTACTACAAGATGGACCGATGGGGGAGGGTTGGAAGAAGGGAGAGCGTCTGTGAGCCAGGTAGGCTTCTCCGGAAGCCCTGACTCCACAGCAATTCCTCACTTCATGAGGCGAGTTTCAGTGAAAATGAAATTTTCTCTTATGTCTCTCTTTCCCGACACTTAACAATTACTGTTTGCTTTCTTAAATCTAGGAAGGTAGATTTCAAGAAAAAAAAAAAAGAGTACCCAAATTATAAATGAAAAAATAATAAATTGAGGCAGGGTGTCGTGATGTCACCCAGGTTAGCTTAAATGTATGATCCTTACCCAGGTATGGTGGTGCAGGAGCACGCCTTTGATCCCAGCTCTTGGGAGGCAGAAGCAGATGGACCTCTGTGAGCTCCAGGCCATCCTGGTCGACAGAGTGGGACCCTGTCTCAGGAAAAAAGAAAAAAAAAAAGTGATCCTCCCGCCTCAGCCTCCCAAGTGTTGAGATGGCAGGAGTGAGCTGCCATCCCGACTTTTACATGGTCTTTCCCTCCCTCCTCCCTCCTCCCTCCCTCCCTCCTCCCTCCTCCCTCCCTCCCTCCTCCCTCCCTTCTTTTTTCTTCCATCCCATCCTCTCTGTCTCTCCCCCCTCCTCCCCCCCCCTTCCTTTTCCTTTCTTACACAGGATCTTACTCACCCTGACTGGCTCAAACTCGCTCTGTAACCTAGGCTGTTCTCCAACTTGGCATCCTCCAGCCTCAGGCCACCAAGCTCTGAGACTGCAAGGGACCATGCCTGGCTAACACTCATATTTTTTATGCAAGGTACAAGAGGTTGCCTTCACCCTGCTGGGAAGGATTCCGGGTACTTCTTTGGGGAAGACATCCTGAAGATGTCAGATGCACCCCCCTCCCCCTCCGAGCGCGAGAGCGCCCTTATGGCGGGGGGGGGGGGGGGGCGGGGGATGGGGAGGGGGCTAAATTTTCTGCAAGGTCAGCATAGGGCGGACTTCAGAGTCATTCTCAACCGCAATGGACATAAAAGGACACGATGTGGGGCGGGCAGGAGATAAAGTTGCTAACAGAATTCTTTCGGTGGGAAATCAACCAAACTCGGGGTGGGGTGAGTTCAGTGTCTTCCCAAAGCAGGGAGCAGATGGAGCGGCCCCAGGAACCTGTTTGCCGCGACTGCTGCTCGGTTGGGGAGGTCCCAGGGGATCCCTCTCCGGGAGCAGGAGACATTCTGAGCACCTCCAGATGCGCAGCCCCCGCCCCAGATGCGCTGACGCAGCGTGGGGCCACGTGGCGGGACACCGGTTCACTTGCGGGGAGCCCCCGGAGCGTGGGCCCCCCGTCTGCGGAGTGGGGTTACTCATCCCTGCCCGAGGCTCTCCTGGGAAGCGCGCTCTGGGGAGGCAGCGAGGTTGCGCCCAGCTCAGCGCCGAGAGAAAAACAAACCTGCTTCCAGCAAGTTCTCGCTCTGCGCTCGCTCCCCGCGCCCCTCCCTCCAGCAGGTGGGGGCGTTTTCCTGGCGCGACTCCGCTCCGCAGTGGGGTGTGCGCGCCAGCAATCCCAGGCGGCTGGTGGTCTGTGCTGGGAGCCTGGGATGAGAGTGGGGAGGCCGGGCTCCCCGGAATCCCTCCGTCCAACAAATAATCTCGCTCGTGCCGGGGATGAGAGAGGTCTGGACCTTTCCCTCTCAAATCCCCAGCCTCTGCAGAGAACGTCTCAGAGCCTAGGAGGGCTGGGGAACCAAGCTCTTGGGGTTGCCCCAGACCGTTTTGGAGATACCACATGAGCTTCAGAGTCCGTCGTGTCTGGACTCAAAAAAATCACTGGCTGTGTGACCTTGGACAGGCTGCTGCCCCTCTCCGTCTGGACTTCCTTTTCCTCATCTCTAAAATGGGTTCTTACCACCTGGCGGGGCTGTAGTGCCAAAGCGGTGGTTCCCCGAGGATGTGTAGTCACCATCGAGAGCGATGTCGCAATGAGGGTGCGGAGATGCATTCGGTTTGAAGCTGCACTGGACTCCCCAGGTCTGGGATGAGTCCCAGAAGTGGAGGAAGGGTAAGGGCTGGGCGTGAGGGAAGGAGAGTCAGGGACACCATCCGCTAACCCACCGTCCATGCTGAGACCTCCTGGGCGCAGTCCTCAGCCTGGGCAGTTACCTGCTAACCTTGTGGGTTGGTGTGTACCGGGGTTCCCACGCCCATGTGCATCTAGCTCTGGGGGAAGGAAACGGTCTTTGTTCCCCCTCAGACCGTAACTGCGAGACCCCCGAGCACCCTCCGTGTCTCCATCCCCACGACCCATCCACTGGAGCCTCACATGGGGCCATTGCGGGTTGGGGGTCCCGTCACCCACCCAGCGCGGGCCACCACTGCCCTGGGACCCCGGTCACCCTCCTAGGAATCAGGTGCGCCGGGCGGGGAGTGGGAATGGCGACCCCGGCTTACCTCGGCTCCTCGCTCCTGCGGCTGGAGTGCAGAGGGCTCTTTGTGCCCGGCTCTCAACAGAACTGGGGGAGCCCCTGCAAGCGCCTCCCCTCGTAAACTCCTCCCCGCACTGGTCCGCAGCCTCCCTCCCTACGGCCCCCCAGCGCAGCCGGCGTCGTCTTCGCATTTACTGCAGCGCCCATGAAATTTTAATGCAGGAGCGGCTGGCGGGCAGAGAGAGGTGCCGCACCCGGCCTCGGGGATGGGGGTGGGGGCGCCCCCGACAAACACCCAGCTTGCGGTCCGGGGCTCGGGGCAGCGAGACGTGGGGTGTGCATCTCTTCCCCCCCCCCGCTCCCACCTCCCCACCTCCGCTTCACAAAGGGGCTACTGCGAGACTCAGCCTCAGCATCCCTGCCTGCAGCGCTGCCATAGCAACGCTGGCCAGTGGAGAGGCGCACGACGGTCGGAGGCGCAGCCACGGACCTGGTGCTGAAGCAAGAGAAGCCCAGCCTTGGATCCCAGAAGGGGACCTGAGCCCCACGGGGCTGGGGCGTGGCTCCCGGGGAACTACCAAGCAGACCCATGGTAAGGGCGGCGGCAAGATTCGAACCCGAATCTGTGGCAGACGTCTATAGCTTTGGCATCTGCTCGGCCTGCACTCCTTGGCACCATTATGATCTCCACAGGGGTGCTAAAGAGTCGCCAGGAGCTTTTTGGTTCTGTGATGCTCCCCGGCCAGCGCCATCCACACCCTTCGAGACCATGACGTAGCTGTCACCTCCTAGGCCCCACTGTAGTGCCACTGAACCGAAACTTATGAAATGGAACCACTGGGTAATTCTAAGGCCCCTTCCAGATGAGCAACTGTCGTGCTAGAACATTCCACCGACTTCTAGAACCGGCACTGGTCCTCAGCTTAAATTCCAGCTCTGACCATGCCCTTGACCAGATGTGACCAGATGTGCATGAGTATCTCCTCAAACTGGGTCTCTATCCCTTTCCAGTCTGGGGAGGCGCTAAACAGGGGAGGGGCACCCAGCGCAAGATGGCACTGCGGGGTGGGGTGGGGGGAGCAAGCCATTCTCCTGATTAAACTAGCTCACCTTTCATTTTCTTTTTAATTTTTTTTAAAACTTCTTTTAGTAGGGTTGGGTGGGCACAGCTCACACAGCGTGCCTGTGGGGCTCAGAGGACAACAGAGTGTGTGATCTCGTCTCCCACCTGGTAGATCCAGGGAATGGAATCCAGCTGGGGTCAGGCTTAGCAGGCAGTGACCCTCTGAGCTGTCCCCCTGGCTGGCCCTCACCTTTCATTTTTTACATTTGGGTATCTATTGAGCGTCACTGCTCACATCCAGGGGCCGTGAGAGGTGACGGTGGCCGTACACAGCCTCCGTGAGAGACCTGCGAGAGATTCGAACTCACGCTTCCAGGTTCTGTCATCGTCATGCACATCTCTCCCTGAGGGCCCCCAGCCTGCCTTTCAGCAGACCCGCAAGCACATGTCCCAAGTTCAGAGCTGGAGGTCAGCACTGGATAACCGATGGCACCAGCGTGGCCTCGGACACATCCCTGCCGGGGACGAAGCGCTCACATGGGCCAATTAGCAAATCAAATGTGCTTGGTCATGATTCCTAGAGCAGAGCACCTGACCTTGGCTTCCCCTCCTGGCCTGCCATGGTACAAGCCGAAAGGTTGGCAGTGAACAGGGAGGGTGCACACAGGTGGCCTCTTTCTTCTCTGAGACTCCCAAGCAACCCCTGTCGGCCTTGTTGCTGTAGTCAATGACCTGACAGACCAACCTAAGGAAGGAGGGTTTGCTTCGGCTCCTGGTTTGAGGGTAGTGTCCAGCACGGTGTCTTGAGAGGGCGCGGCTGCCGGAGTGTGAGGTGACTGGTCACACTTCATCTGCCGTCAGGAAGCAAAGAGGGGTGAAGGCCACCCTCAGCTTGCTTTCTCCTTCTTATTCAGTCCCCAGAATCCAGCCCATGAGATGCAGCGGCCTACATCCAGGGTGGGTCTTCCCTCCTGGGTCAAACCTCTCTGGACGCATCCTCACAGGCACTCCCAGGGGTGTGTGTATCTCCCAGGTGACTCCAAATCCAGACACGCTGACCATGCTGAAGATGAACTGTCTTTCTCATACCGTGTTCTTGAATCCTCTCCCAGCCCAGTCTCCAATATCCATCTGGGGAAGACTCGAGGCACCTGCCCACCGCTGCCTTACTTCTCCAGCCCCCCCCCCCCCGTCTTAGTTCTTTCAAAAATCAGCAGTGTGTCTGTGGTCCTGCTTGCCAGTGTCTTCTCAAGTGGGCAGGGTGGAAGGCAAAGTGCACACTGCTAGGGGATGCTGTGGGCTCTGTGTGAAGGAGATTGTGGTTAGCACTAACAGATTCTAGGTGAGAAGTAAACCGAGAGGTGTAAGGAGAGGATAGACCCCATGTCCAGCAGACCCCCAAGCCAGCCTAGGCTGGCCGGATGTCCTCTGTCCCTGGTTCTCCATCATGGTGTCATTCTTCATCTAGTCCTCCTGAGGATGCACTTGAACCTTTGACCTCCCTTTGTTCATCTGCTGAAAACCAAATGGAGTGCGGCATACTCTACTCCCCGCCCTCTAGCCAGCATGGTTCTGTGGAATTCCCGGACAGCCTGGCAGCGAGAGATGGAATCCAGCCCACCTCCCCACTTGTGTAGCTCTGACCCCACGGCTCATTGCCTAAGTAGAGACGGTGAGTGAACACAACCAACATCGCCATTGCTAGCCAGAGATACTGACTTACGGGAGAGGTTCACAGATGCAGCTACCTTGAGCCCTAAGGGTCCCTGAGCAGACCCACTCCCCAAGACACTAGCCGATACCCCCCGGTCTACCTTTCTTTAAAGTGACCCCAGCCAACTCTTGTTGGGGGCTGGTTGTCAGGGCAACAGGAGGAGGCACCATCAGACTTCAAAGGATGCCCTTGAGAACAAAACAGGCACCCTAATCCGGACCTGGTGCCCACCCCCTTCACATGAGACGCTATGGCTTCAAGGAAGCCACCCATGATTCCAGGGGGACTCTGACCATGACAATGTGTCTAAGAAAGAAGAAATAGAAGAGTGTATTCTTTCTTCAACCCTAAAGAGATGTCCAGAGGACTGCGCCTGTCAAGTCCCTGCGGCTAATTCCAGGTCCCACCATCTCCTTCAGAAGCAGTGAACTCCAATTTATGTCCACACCCTTGTAGGGCACTGTTCTGAGTGCTTTACCCTCATTCCCTTCTCCAACCCTCTGAGAAACTGCTGGTATCATCTCTGCTAGACACATAAAGTCTGGAAGACTCCGAGGGAGCAAAGGGCTCACCTGGGGCGAGCCAACCAGGAAGTGAGTGGTAAGGCTGTGAGGGGAACAAAGCTTCCTGAGAGCATCTGCACCCATGCTCAGCCCATTGTCCCCTGGGAAGCAAAGAGCCACACACAGCTAGGCATGGATGCATGGCTGTGCTGCAGTCCTTCCCAGGTGCAGGCACCGCCCTGAAGTTAACCTCTGCCTCCCTTCAGAGGGAACACCCGCTCAGGGTGGTCGCCAGAGCAGCAGGCGGTTTCCATGATCTGCTCACTACTTCATGCTCTCTCTGGGGTGGGTAAATCTTGGTTCACAGCTCCACGTGAAAAGTCACTTGCTGTCACGTTGGCACACACAGGTCTCCCTAGGAGGGAAGAGATCCTCACACTTGTGCAGCATTGAGCACTCTTACCCACGGGGGGCATCCCTCCAACCCTGATCCTAGCTGCTTAAACAGAGGGTCACGCCTCAAATTGGGTCATGTAACCGAATGTGAATTCACACAAGAAACTGGCACCAGTAAGAGGTTTCTGAGGTGCAAAGGTTAAAAATGGATCCAAAATCAAACATGTAAGACTCCAAGATGCTTCTGGCAGCGCCCTGTGTTGCGTCTCATCAGCTTGGCGCTGAACACACGAGACACACACACACACACACACACACACACACACACACACACACACACGCTTCTCAGCACCTGTGGTGCTCAGGTCGGGGCCTATGACTGTTCTACATCTGCGGAACAACCTGTACACACAGTTGTTTGCTCTCTTTCAAACACAGTGGCTGAATTGTGAGAATGATTTTAAAAACTGCTGTTTGAGTGGCTGACCTGGGTTTCATTTCAAAAAAAATAAATAAATAAATTTGGGCTTGGACAGAATTTCCAGAACTTTGTGTATTAGTCTGAATGTTTCTCCTGTGTATACTGTCTGTGAAACAGCATTCTCAGATTTGACAGTTATGAAATCAAACTATTAATCGACTCTGAAAAGCTGGAGATGCCCTGGGTCCTGCAGGATCAGACATTTGGTAAAAACTCTCCTCTTAAGCGTGCGACCTTCTGCCTCCAATAAAAGGTGAGCTTTCCGGTAAAAGAAATGTTTTAAAGTAAAACATCTGGGGCTGGAGAGAAGGCTCTGTGGTTCAGAAGTGTTGCTCCTACAGAGACCCCGAGTTCTGTTACAGCACCCATGTCAGGTGGCTCACAACCCCTTCTAACTCCAGCTCCAGTGGATCCGGTGCCTGGCCTCCTCTGGCACCTGCACTCACGTGGACACACACACACACACACACACACACACACACACACACACACACACACATTTACCTAATTTAAAGTAAATAATTAAAATCTTTAAAAAATATTTTTTCATTTGTGTGTGTGTAATACGTATATTGGTGTTTTGCATACATGTAGGCTCACTGTGAGGGTGCATGTCTAGGGGGGGTCCATGTGTGTGAATGTGTGTTCATATGTGTGTAGAGGCCCCAAGGCTGATTGGGAACTATCCTCAATTGCTTTTCCTACTTATTCATTGAGACAAGGACTCTCAATCAAACCCAGAGTTCACCAATATGGCTAGACAGCTTGTCCCAGGCATCCCTTCTGTGGCTGGAATTATAGGCCAGGTGCAATGTCCACCACCCAGCATGTCTTGGGTTCCAGCGATCCAAACTTCAGTCATCACCTGTGCACGGTGAGCTCTGTAACCACTGGGCTATCTCCTCAGCCTGGACATTAATTTATCTGTGATGTGTCTTTGGTGATTGCTTCCTTTGTATACCTATTTCCCATCTTTCCACACAGGATCGGGTGAACATTTCTCAGGTGAAAGGGTCATGAATGGGAGAAGCTTGAGAACCCCTGAGGTGGACGGCAGTTCTGCTGGTGGAAACATCCAGATCCAAGCTGCCTGCGCTGGCTCTGCCTCGGTGACCTGCTCGACACATCACATGGGTACCATCGTGTCACACGTGGAAGCAGGAGAGACATCAGAGACTTAGTTTGCTCTCTCTCTCTCTCTCTCTCTCTCTCTCTCTCTCACACACACACACACACACACGTTCTCAAACATAACTCAATTTTCTCCCTATCGTTATCCCACGGCTGGCTTAGGTCTCTCCCTCCCCAGCTCGGGAGACCCTACATCCCCATCCCCAGGCAGTTATTGTAAAGGGCTTTAGATACAAATGCACTCCTGCACAGTCGCACAAGCGCTGAGCCTTGTTCACGTGTGTGTGTGTGTGTGTGTGTGTGTGTGTGTCCATGTCTTCCCTGCACCATGCTCGTGGTCACTCATCAGGCCTCATCAGTAGGATTTGAGCTCACAGAGTAAAGTCCAGGGCATCCAGGACTCACCCCACAGCAGGGCTCAGGGGCCAGGACACTGCTCCCAAGGACAGCTCTGGAGCCTCCTGCCCCCAGACTCCTTGTTGGGTCATCTCTGCCCCTTCGCTTTTGTGTGCCTAGGGCTGCACGCAGGCCCCTGTCCCTCTGTCCCCTTGTCCCCTTGCCCCCGCCCCGTCCCCCCTCCACTCTTGCTCACTGAGCTTCTTTGTCTGGCCCTTTGTGTCTGGACCATGGAGAAGGGCAGGGCACACGCGCCTCCTCCATCCCGCCTCATTATCCGTCTGCAAACAGTCCTGCAGACGGCCCTGCACCTGCTCCTGGGCTCCCAGGCGCCCAGCAGGTGCCGCCCAGCCAATCGCAGAGCTGCTGCGGAGAGAAAGGCACCGGCCAGGCCTCCAGCTGCTCCCTCTGCCTCCCAGAAGCAGGGACAAAGTCTTTCGGCTTTTTCACCACCCATGCGACAGATGCTGCGGGGCCAGAGAGGGGGCAGAAGGAACTGGGGTTGGGGGAGGTGGGCCCTGTGGAAGACCTCACGGATACCACACTCACAGCACACCTTCCCTGCCCCCACCCAGGCCCTTCCCTGGATCCTCTCCAGCATCCCACTGTGTCACCCCCACCCCCACCCCCACACTGAATCACTAAACGTGTTGCCTGCTCCTGCTACCCCCGCCAAGCGCCCCAACTTGTCCCCTTTGCCGCTTCCAGGAGTCTCTGAAAATGCAGGCTGACCTCAGCGGTCCTCTGCCACAGCCCCTCTGGCCTCACCAGGAGCAGCAAGCTTTACACCGCCCTCCAAAGTCCTGCCCTGGCCTTGGCTGCCTGCTAGCTCCGTGATCCCTTACCTAGCTCTGGCATTACCAAATGGGCGTGTCCAGCCCAGCCTCGTGTTCTCTGGGGGTCCTGCTCATTTCCAGATAAAGCCAGGGTTCGGAGGTTCATGACCCCTGGGTAGATACAGCCTCTACTCTGGGGCTGATTTGAGCATGAGATTATAAGTCCTTTTGTTTATGAGTCCATGCATATATATGCCTGCACACATACATGCCCACACAACACATATTCACACATATATGCACACACATCTACATACATTCTCACTCATGCACGCATACATGAATAGACACACACACACACACACACACACACACACACACATACATGCCTACACACATTGGCACACACATACTAGCCTGTGAAACTCCTCAGGGAAGACGTTTGCTCTGTTTCCTCTCTCACTTCACGGCTTGACAAAGGGTCTGCCCTGGTGGAGGCCCTCTGTGTCCTCATGCAGACAGAACAGCTGAGCAGGCTATGGTCTGGAAGGCCTTTTGGACATACAGCTGTGTAAACCAACCTGTGAGAGAAGAGTATGGGCCCGGGTCTGCTCCCACGCGGCCTGAGACAGAGCAGTCCAGGTCTCCAGCAGCCCTGGGCTTCAACTGTCTCCAAAAGATGACCCTCTCCTATAGAAGGCGACCCAGCCCTCAAGCACCCTGCTCAAGGGTGACAGAATTGCAGACCCTCTCAGGGCACACCTGGCTTATCTGGGTCGATGACAGTGTCTTCCTCCTCTTAGATTACATGTGCCTGTCCTACACTTGCACACAGGCAGGGCCACTGTGCTCATAGCACAAATACCACAGACTCCTCAGGAGACCCTCAGGTTGGATGGCCACCGGGGGTGGGGGGTGGGGGGGGAGGACTTGCACACTCAGGGCCTGCTGAGTTCCATTCTGGGACTGGTACTGCAGCTGCTAGAGACACAGCCAGCCGGTGTGGTACCAGGGATCGGCACCAGGCCCACTTTACAGACCAGGAAACTGAAGCTGAACAAACAGGTCTGAGCCAAGATACAGCCCTGGCATTCTTCATCCAAGTCCAGCCCAGACCCCACTCCCACCGTCGGCCCGGCAGTCCTAGGGAGATCCTCTCAGCTCGGCTGCACGCACCCTCCTGCTGTCCCACCACAGCCAGTCTGCACACAGTGCATTCTGTATTTATGAGATGCCTCTGGCTCTCTCTGGACCAGCCAAGCCCGGCCTGTATGCTTGGAGGAGGGAGGCGGGGCTCTGCAGCCAGCGTGCCCCAGTAGAAGGGGGCTGGGCTGGGTCGAGGCTCTAGTCTGGTTTCTGCTGGGCCCATGTAGCAGAGTAAGGGTGGGAACATATGGGTGCTTCTAGTAACCTTTGTTCTCTGGCTTGTCCGAGGCATTTGCGGAGAGCCCAGGAGGGGCCTGGGTGAGCAGAAGAGTGACTGAGATGCTCAGTGGTCCAGGCACGGGAGAGGAAAGCCAGTCATGCAGGGTGTGGGTGTGCAGGGTGTGGGTGTGCAGGGGGTGGGTGTGCAGGGTGTAGGCATGCTCTTTCCTAACCAATGTTGGACTTGGTACCACTCTCCCCACAAAGAGGAGAGTTAAGATGGCCTTTAAGATGCTAACAGGCCTGGGCATGGACCAGTGAGGAAGTTCTAATCTAACACACACAGATGTCTGGATTTGACCCCCAGCATCACACACACACACACACACACACACACACACACACACACACACACACACACACAGAGGGGGTCAGTTTTAGCATAACCAGACAACTGAATACAAAATAAGGTCTGTGGAGACTCAGTTGGTAAGGTGCTTGCTGCAGTAGGACTGTGTCTGATCTTCCAGTACCCTGGCACTGTGACACTCGGCTGTAATCCCAGCCCTGGGGAAACAGAGACAAACTGATCCTCAGGGCTCACTAGTCACACAACCTCATCTAATCAGAGAGCTCTAGGCCAGTGAGAGAGAGACCCTGCCTCAAAGGAGGTTTCCCTGAGGATGACACTATGGCCGTGCCCCACCTCTCCAGCCTTCGTAGGCACAGGCACACACATGCACCCAACACCCACACCCACATTATACATACCAGTAATAAAATATTACATATACCATGTTACATAAAATAAGGTAGGGAGCCTAGGGTTGGCAGCACATGTCCATAACCCCAGCACTTCGGTGGCCGAGGCAGAAAATCAGCTCTCGTCCAGCCTGGGCTACACAGACAAAATAAGAAACCAAATGAGAAGAATGGAATTTGGAAAAGACCGAATCAACAGAGATCTAATTATTCTAGACACCAATCACTCTGCTCTGAACAGTTGCTGGGAGCTGACTGGTCAGTGTTGGTTCTGAGCAACCTGGAAGCCAGTGAGAAAAGGGAAATGCAATTTCACACATGTCCACTGTGGCCCAGAAAACACACAGATGCAGAGATTCTGCTATGGCTACTTTGAAAGCAGGAAGAAGCTCAGGCCCCAACCTCATCCGGAAGCCCCCTCTCCTTGGCATCAAGTCTTCCCTCCGGTTGGCCCAGCCCCCTCTGCTCCAGCACCCCACACCCACCCCGAGGCAGGAGTCTTCAGCATCGTCGGGGTGGGTGGGTTTTTCACATTTCACCACCAGGGGTCAGGGCTGCGCAGGCCCTGATCCCCGAGCACACAAGAGAGAAACAGATGCTGGGGAGCCTGGGAGTTGCCAGGGCCTCAGTAAAGAAGCCAGTACCATGGGGAAAGGGGGTGTCAGTGGTGGGGAGGGGGCCTGAATGGGAGCTGGGGTAAGTGGAGGTAGGGTGTGTTGGGGTTCAGCCTGTCACCCGGAAGATCAGCTTGAGCTCGTGTCCAGCCTAAGCTAAAATCTGCCTCCCCTTCCCACCCCAACTCTCTTCCTCCCCCTCCCTTCAGATCTGCCCCCCACCCCTGGCTTACAGATAAAAGCACTTGCTGCCAAGCCTGATGACCCGAGTTTGGACACTGAGACCTACGTGGTGGAAGAAGACAATCAACTCCAAAAGTTGCCCTCCGATCTCCACTTACTGCATAAACCACACACACACACACAAATAATAATAATAATAAATTTTTAGGTGAAATTATCATTTTTAAAAAGTTAGTCCCCAGCCAGGTGGTGGTGGCGCATGCCTTTAATGCCAGCACTCGGGAGGCAGAGCCAGGCAGATCTCTGTGAGGCCAGCCTGGGCTACAGAGCGAGATCCAGGACAAGCACCAAAACTACACAGAGAAACCCTGTCTCGAAAAACCACCCCACCTGGCTGGCTCAAGGTGCCTGGCATACTCATGATGGGAAAGGGGTACTTGGAGAGAGTGGGGGTGGCCAGGATTTGTGCTGCAACTTTGCTGGGTCCTCTGTGTGGGTTTGAGCACACCAGTGTGCTTTTGTTGGCCTCAATCTTTCCATCTGTGCAAGGGACAAGAGAACAGGGTGACAAAGGATTGTGGTCTCTCTGGCTGAGACTGTGAGCTCAGGGCAGAAGGCGGGGGGAGGGGATTGATTCAGTCTACAGTGTGCAAGGCTAGAGCTTCTCCTCTGGAGCACAAATGTCTGTCCCCCTCTGCTGCTCCCCTGATGCCCCTCCCTAATGTGTGGACCAAAACAGCCTCTATGTTGGCAAGTTCAGGGAAGACTTGGAGCAGAGCCAGGGGTGGGCAGGAAAGGGAGGCGCCGCCCACCTGTGGTTTCCCTGTCTATTAATCTGGTAATTATGGGCCTGGAAGGAGGGTGGGCAGAATCCCCACCCACAGGCTGAGGAGCAGCAACACACGGCTCCTTCTTGGGGAGGACGGTTGACAGCAGCACAGGGGGTGGAAAGGAAGGTTGGCTTCTCCTCCTCCTCCTCCTCCTCCTCCTCCTCCTCCTCCTCCTCCTCCTCCTTCTCCTCCTCCTTCTCCTTCTCTTCCTCCTTCTCTTCCTTCTCCTTCTCCTCCTTCTCCTTCTCTTCCTCCTCCTCCTCCTTCTCCTCCTCCTTCTCCTTCTCCTCTTCCTTCTCCTCCTCCTTCTCCTCCCTCTCCTCCTCCTCTTCCTCCTCCTCCTCTTTGCCTTCCACTTCCTTATCTTCCTCTCCCCTCCCACTCTTTCTACTGTGCAGCAGTTCCCTCTGAGGTTAGACCCTTCCATCTCGGAGGAGGGAAGCTCTTTAAGACTCAGGGTGTTTACGGTGAAACACTCCATCCTGCAGAGAAGCTCCTTAGGCTCAGGAAGGAAGCAACTCACAACAGCTCCAGGAAGTCCCTGAAACTGAGCAGATTCACTAGGCCCGCCCCTCCCCAAGAGGATATAAGTGATAAAGAGTCACTCTGAGGAGCCACCTGCCTGGAAGAGGCTCAGACCAACTGAGGCACCAGGAAAGGACACTCTTGACCCATTGAGCCGCCTGCAGGCTGTGCAGTGCACTCCAGGTTCCCAGCTTTATGAGCTGTCACCCGGGCTGGGGTGGGCTTTGGTGATGCAGCTGCCTTGAAGTCATTTCTGCTCCTGTCAGTGACCTTTCACCCATACTCCTGTAAGTAACTCCAATAAAAATGATTGGTTCACCAAGTCTGACTTTAATGGTATCTGAACTTTGGTCTGTTTTTGATTCCCTGTCTGCTGGGGTGTGTGGTCATTTGTTCACATTTCCCTGGGAACAGCGTCAAACAACAGTCTCCTCTTTCTAGAGCTGTCCTCTCTCTCTCTCTCTCTCTCTCTCTCTCTCTCTCTCTCTCTCTCTCTCTCTCTCTCTCTCACACACACACACACACACACACACACACACACACACACACACACTCAAGCTGTCACAGAGAGGTTCCTTCCTGGCCCTCTGGTGCCATTGCTGCCTGCTCTCTGGTCTCTACTCCTGGGCACTGGTTCAGCAGTGGGAGGAGCCACCCGGAGGAGACCAGGAGGAGACCACAAAGGCACAGGCTTGTCTTGTTTTCACAGCGTTTTCTTCCTCATTTACCACCCCCTGGACCTCTATACTGTGCCTTCACGGGGAAGGGAACCCAAGGCTTGGTGAGGAAGAACAGCTGCCAGAGGCCACCGGGTCTAATCCAACTCCAGGTGTGACTACTTCCTGGGGAGATGTGAGTAGCCAGAAGGAGGCCACGAAGGGCAGAGGCACAGAGGCATTTCACTGCGTCACCCTGGGCCAGTCCTTTGTGCTCTCTGGGCCAGGATTTCACCAGCTTGTGGCTCCTCCCTCCTGAACCCTGCGGTCAGTCCTTTCTCTGCTAAGCAGTGTTTGCGGTGACAGGTGCCCCCTGCCTGCTGGCTGCTTTGGTCCGAAGCAACCAGCTTTAATTGCCTTTCTTTTAGGATCTTGGGAAACTGACCTCCTGGGAAGATTTGAAGAATAATTTCATGCTTTCTGCTTCCCTCCCAAGATCGCCCCGCTGGGTCAACTGTTTTCTTCTCTGTCACTCCAACACAGCCTCACATCTGGGACTTTTTTTTTTTTTTTAAATACAGTTGCCAGCCTCCCTCCTGGCTCTGGCTTGAGCTGGCTCTTAACAGAGGTCACCAATCACCTGTGACCTCTCTGACCCTCTCTTTTCCCTTCCACCCATATTCCCTGCCTTGCTCCCGTATATAAGAGGATGCACAGTTACTCGTACTAAACTGTGAGGACTGCTTTCTTAACTCTTAGGGCAAAGCATGAGCCCATCAAACTTATTGTTTATAAGCCTCATTTGATCCCCTTTAGCTCTTCATCATGCCCCCGAAATCTTGCACGACTCACAGTGGACTAAATGATCCTATGGGCTGAGTGTCCTCAGGAAAATTCCTTGACCTCTCTGAGCCTCCATTCACTGTATAGTCCAGGCTAGCCTCAAACTCATAGTAATCCTTTTGCCTCAGTCTCTTGAGTGCTGATCCCAATGGGCATGTGCCGCTATTCTTGGTTTATCAAAATTCTTGGGGTAGGAAGATGTAGCATAAATAGACAAAATGGTGAGATGAGGCTGGGTTATAACTCAGTGGCAAACCACTCACCTAGCATGCCTGGGACTTTAGTCCAATCCCGATAACTTACACACAGAAAACAAGCAGAATGTTTCACGACTAAACCCTAGCACAACCCAAGAGGATGGTGGCCCGAGGGCAACCTGGGCTATGTAATGGCATTCTCAAAAAGGGGGGCACTCGGTGGCTAACCGTTTGCCACCAAAGCGTGAGGACGCAAGTTCAGATCTCCAGAACCTGTGTAAATGCTGGGTGGGTTTGGTAGCCTGTGAGAAGAGAGGGCTGAGTCAAGGGAGCAAAGATTAGCTTTGTCTGGGAGCTCTGGGTTTCACCGAGAGACCCTCCCCTGTAGGGAGCTGAGGAAGCCCTGGGTGAGTGTGGATTGTGGACAAGAACAAACGCCTCAGACCATGGCAGTGTCAAAGCCTTCCTCTGATCTGAGTGCGAAGGCTGACAGAGTGTGTGCATGGCCATTGAATAAGCTGTTCCCAGAGGACCCAGGTTCAATTCCCAGCATGGACATGGAGGCTCACATCTGTGTAGCATGAATCTTAAATGGTCTTAATAAAAACAAACCCAGAGCCTGGTATTGGGGTGAATGCTGGAAGGTCAGAGAAGCAGAACAAGTCACAGCTTCCTCACCTTGCCAATTCCTCAGCTGATTCTGTTTCTTCAGACTGGAAGCCTCTGAGTCCTCATGCAGAACGAATCTCAGCTGAATTGCTGCTCAAAAACTTAAAAGCTTAACCAGCTCTAGTTCCTGGTCCTCACACCTTATATACCTTTCTGCTTCCTGCCATCACTTCCTGGGATTAAAGGCGTGAGTCACCATGCCTGGCTGTTTCCAGTGTAGCTTTGAACTCGCAGAGATCCAGATGGATCTCTGCCTCTGGAATGCTAGGATTAAAGGCATGTGCTACCACTGCCTAACCTCTATGTTTAATATTATGGCTGTTCTGTTCTCTGACCCCCAGATAAGTTTATTGGGGTGCACAATATATCAACCACACATCTGTCTCTAACTCTGGTCTCAGAGGATCTGACGCCCTCTTTGGGTGCACAGACCTACATGCAGGCAAAACACCCAGACACATGAAATAAAAGAAAAAAATTATAGCATAAATCAGTAAAAGGGACAATAGGAGCTGGGCGGTGGTGGCGCACACCTTTAATCCCAGCACTCGGGAGGCAGAGCCAGGTGGATCTCTGTGAGTTTGAGGCCAGCCTGGGCTACAGAATGAGTTCCAGGAAAGGCACAAAGCTACACAGAGAAACCCTGTCTCAAAAAACCAAGAGAGAGAGAGAGAGAGAGAGAGAGAGAGAGAGAGAGAGAGAGAGAGAGAGAGAGATTAGGGATAGAGAGGGTTCAGCATCTGAGAGGGCTTGCTGTTCTAGCATGTGGACCAGATTTCCCACACCCAGCCCCTCACAACCACCTGTAACCCAGCTCCAAGCCGCCTTCTGCATATATGGCATTCACAAACATAGGTGCATGTGACACACACACACACACACACACACACACACACACACACACACACACACAAATAAGCCTTAAAACCAGACAAATGACAGAAATTTTATAAAGCTACAGATCGCTTCATCAGGAAGAGAGGTGAAATTGAAAAACACAAGTGATACTGAGCCTTTTGTTTTTAATTTTATTTCTTTGAGCTTCGTGAGCTGGTGGGGCATGGGCTGGCTGACAGGGGTGCGGGGTTCCCAGGAGACATAGGGGTAGCCAGAACCAAGAACAGCCACATCTCCAGCCAGTCACTCAGTCGTTCACGGAGGCACCCCAGTGCGCCTGTGCCTGCTCACTGCTGGATCCTGCGCACACTCTGCACCTGGAAGGTGTGGGCATGGGAGCCCCACTCCCTAAAGTGCTTGTAGTCACCCGAGTGGTGATCGCTCTCCAGTACGTACTGAAAACCTCGGTAGCCGGGAAACTGGGAACAAACCCACCTGGAAAATGGAAGAGACGGTTACCACACAGGGGCTCTGAGGCCCAAACCAAGTCAGGCAGAGATGCCCTGAAAAGCCCAACCAGCCAGGTGGGCTTCGTGGCCCTGGTACCCCACACGTGTGCGCAGGAGCTGTCTCCCCCCACAAGGCCTTCACTGCTGCTGTTCCCCGGGGCAGAGACAGCCTTCCAGCCACTCTTCAGGGCCACAGTGTATGGTCTCTCTCAAGACTGTCCATCCACCTGTCTCTACCAGGCCCCTGGTTGTCCCTTCTTAACAGGGATAAAACTGGATAATTTTTTTAAAGATTTATTTATTTATTATGTATACAGTGTTCTGTCTGCATGTGTCCCTGCAGGCCAGAAGAGAGCGCCAGATCTCATTACAGGTGGTTGTGAGCCACCATGTGGTTGCTGGGAATTGAACTCAGGACCTCTGGAAGAATACCCAGTGCTCTTAACTGCTGAGCCATCTCTCCAGCCCCAAACTGGATAATTTTAAGATTACTTTTTGAGCTGTCTGCCTTCCCTAGAGTAAGCCCTGGCGCCGGACGCCTGGAGCTCATCCCTCAGTCTCCCTGCACAGACACTGTGCACCAGAGGAACCAGTGAACGGCTCATGAGGAAAGCAGGAATGAGGGGATGGACAGGAAGTCTTTCTCTGTCCAGCCCTCCCTCACAGTTGTTCCGAGGCATAGACCCCTTGCGTTATTCACGACAGGGATTCTTGACTTGGGTTTCCTGAGCGTCCACCTTCCTCTCTCCAGAACAGTGTCACCCATATTGAGACACATCCTGAATCTGGTTCGTCACCGTCTAAACAAAAGGCCCACTTCGCACCTTCATCCTTGCTTGTAGGAGCCAAGAGCCCTGGAGAAGGAGACTTGGCCTCACACACCCGATCTCCCTCCCACCTGATCTCCTTCCCGGTCCCAGTCAAGTGGTTGGGGGGGGGGCGGTTTTGGGGGAGACATACGACACTGAAGCAAGAGTCTCAAAAACCATGTGACCCTATCCAGCCAATCAGAGTATCCCATTCATTTGGACATGGTGATTGGTTCAGCGGGGAGCACATGACCCAAGCTGGATAGATGGAGTCAGGCATCGTCTCTCGCGCTGTGGACAGAGTGTAACGCCGAAGTCTCCATCTTTGGCTTTACATTGGGGGAGAGCTGGTTTAAGAACAGAGCTAGGTGTAGTGAGACGGGGAGGGCGGCAGATTCCAGCAGTTTCTGGATCCAGCTGTGCCTGAAGCTGTTCACCGGGACCCACATACATCCTTTGTCCCTAAACCAGCTTGCCCTGGGTGCCCATCTGCCACTTGCAACCCCATACATTCTGTCTGATGCCCTCTGTGCCTCCATGTTCTCCGGCATGCTGGGCACACAGTCTCTACAGAATGTGTCCCAGCCCTTCCCACATCTCTTTTGTCCTGGCAGCCAGAGCCGTAGGGGTCCACTTACGCCCCAGACTGAACATGGAAGGAGCCCACTTCCGTGCCGTCCCAGCCCATGGCCTGCAGAGAGGGATAGTCATCGCTCAGCTCGCCTTTCCTGCCGAGGAAGTTCTCCTGCTCGAAGATGGTCAGCCTCGAGTCACGGTGGTTCTACAGACAACAGAGAGCTGGGTCAGACCGCCAGGTGCCGGATGGGACACACAGGAGCCACTGCCCCTTGCTCAGCCTTTGTCTCCCAAGTCAGCCTTCTATCCAGAGCTCTGAGAAGGGCAGCAGGCGACGGGAAGCTTTACAAGATGCTTCAGCATCTGTCTTCCACAAGGACAGAACAAAAACTACAAGGATATCCACCATAACTGTGAAAAATAAAGGAACTGAGCTAAATGTCCCATAGCAGGAGACCAGGCACGAAGACAGGGTGTTGTGCTATAAAAACCATGTGAATATCTGGGTTAGACTCCTGATTCTGCCCTTTGCCAGCTGACTGAGCTCAAGTGCACCACCCAGTGAGTGTTTCTGGGGCTCTACTTTCCCATAGCTTTAACACGGAGCCAACCATATCTCCCTTCCATCTTTGGGATGGGAGAGCAATGCCTGGCTCCGTCCATCTCCATCAACAGCAGCAATGTACAATGGAGAGGAGACGGTGAGTTGGGGACAATATGTAGGACCCATCCTCCCAGCCAGCTCTGCCTTCCCTGGCATCCAGCTCTCCCAGGGGCCCTGAACCATGAAAAGAGGGAAATACCAACAAAGGGGCTCCCGCCGTACCCAAAATTGCTACAGGCTGAGATTTCGTGTTGGGGTGTAGCCACAGCATGGGTGCTATCACTTTCTGCCAAATTACAGAGACTGGGGGTAACTGAAGAGAGAGACCACCCATATCACTCTCTTGATGGATGAGAGCTTGAGCTTAGAGATCTGCTTCCCAAGTGTCCATGAGCAGGGCTCTGGTCACGGAGTGTGTGTGTGTGTGTGTGTACAGGCAGTAGGACTCACAGCGCAGGCCACAGGCCGGAAGGAAGTAAGCCTCTCAGCGGGGTAGGCTGTGTTGCCACTCCAGGCGTCCCAGCCTGGGTACTCCCCTCTCTCCAGCACGTATTGTTGCCCTTGGAAGCCAGCATGCTCAAAGCCCACCCACCTGCAGACAAACAGGGCAGAAATGGCAAGAAAGAAGAGCTGCCAGCCTGAGAACTGGGTCAGGGCTCTAATGGGGGTGAGTGAGCCTCTGAGGCCAGTGGACAGTACCTGGGTTGTTACAGCTTTACAACTTGGGAGGGGACGCAATGGCCTTTCAGTAAGTGGAAGCCAACAGTGGAGCAGCACCCAGGTCACCCTGCCCAAGAACAGTCATGCCTAGACCTTGCTAATGCCAAGTGTGAGAAACCCTGCCTAAGCCCAGCATAGGAAATTCTGCCTAGAGCCAGCATCACACTGGCTTCCTGTGTCCAACAGGGAAGGGTCTGCCCTAGGCAGGTGCTCTGGGGTCCTCACACATTCATTGCCACAAAGGTCACATCGTGTAGACAGGGTTCAGCCATGGGCTGTGACTCCTCATGATCCTGTCAGACACAGAGATTGACAGGAGTCAGGAGCTGTCTGCCCTGAGCTGTTGCTCATTCCCCCTCCCCAGGTTCTGGGACAGCTTCTCCCTCATGCTCATTCCCCACGGCAGGAGGGCCTTCCGCATCCCCACCTTGGGCAGAAGCATGGAAGCAGCGCCCTATCAGTCCCCTTGTGTTGTGTCTCCCTCAGGGACAGAGAACCCTGGAGACTTGTGTGTGTGCTGTCTGTGTAAGTGATAAGTGCTCTGAGTCTATCCAGGCTCTTTTCCTCCTGTCCAGCCTCACCTGGCAGTTTGCAGGACACCCTCCCTAGATAGGCAGCTGTCCTGAGCCCTGTCTCCCACCTGAATAGAGCAGAAGCTAAAAGAACAATCAAGAACAATCGCCAGGCTGGAGAGATGGCTCAGAGGTTAAGAGCACTGGCTGCTCTTCCAGAGGTCCTGAGTTCAGTTCCCAGCAACCACGTGGCGGCTCACAACCATCTGTAAGGACATCTGGTGCCCTCTTCTGGCCTGCAGGGATACATGCAGACAGAGCGCTGTATACATAATAAATAAACAAATCTTAAAACAATTGCCGTGGTGTAAGATGCATACAGACCACCAAGGTGACCTTGGGAGGCACCCACAGAAGTAGCCTTGGCTCTGAGTCATACAGAGAAAGTACCACTCTCCTTTTGGTTTTCTTCCTAATTTTCTGGGATCTTCTACCCAATGGAATAAGCATCAGCCACATACAAACTAATTACAATTAATCTGAAGATTAAGTAAAAATTAAAATTCAGCTCCTAAGTCACAGAATATGCATATGAAATTCTTCCTCAGTGGTCACATGTGGCCAGTGACTCTCGAGCAGATTCAGTAGATTTATAAATCTCCCCATCCTTGTAGGAAGGGCTGCTGCAGGCTGCTAGTCTCGAGGGCCAAGGGTAAATGATGCTTACTTTCAGTTTACGTCTAAGAGGGACATCTTCAGACCCAATGGGGCTGCCTCATCTAATGGGCAGGGACTGTGTGATGGTGTCCCTTACAAGTGGGACGTGCACGACCTGGATAATGTGACTCAACAACCCTGCATTCTCTTCTGCACCTGGGAGGAACACAGAGGTACAGTCAAAGCCTAGAAAGATATGTCTGGGAACATGTATGGGTTCCAGCGTCCTCTCCGGATCCCTTCCTGTCCCCCTCCCCACCTCAAGGCCTTCGCAGTAGACTTTTACATGGCTCCTCCATACTATTTGTTTTGAGAGACGATCTCATGAGGCCCAGGCTGGCCTTGAACTCACAAGCTTCTGGCCTGCACTTGCTCAGGCTAGGATTATGGGCATGTGCCATCCATCACACCCAGCTTTGAGTTCCTCTTTCTGAAGCCAAGCATGGTCAAAGAAATACAGCAGGAAGATTGTGTGAAGTGGGTCAATGGTGGGGACCAGAAGACCCAAGTTCAAGCTCCACCTCTGCCTCCCCATCCTGACTCAATATCTTCCATACTCACGCTCCACTCAGGACTTTCAAAGACCGCACGGTCTCAAAGCCGAGCTCCAGCACGCTGGGACACTCAGCTGTGAACTCATGCCGACGGCCCTGGAAGCCCTCTTCATCCCACACCACCATCTGCATAGGAAAGAAGGGAGATGTGTGGACATCAGGGTTCTGTGAGCAGTGAGGGTCTCGCCCTGGACTCGGGGTGAGGCCAAACAGGAAAACCAAGTGCCTCCAGGGCCAGGTGGGTGAGCAGGGTGGACTGTGGGCTGTCCTGGACAGTGTAGGCCTAGAGTATGGACGACTTCTGTCCACCATCACTCCCCGCTGACATCAGGGGGGGAAATGCAGACAGAGCTTCCATTTCTCAAGGCCTTCACGGAATACTTTTACATGGCTCCTCCATACTCTTTGTTTTGAGAGACGATCTCATGAGGCCCAGGCTGGCCTTGAACTCACAAGCTTCTGGCCTGCACTTGCTCAGGCTAGGATTATGGGCATGTGCCATCCATCACACCCAGCTTTGAGTTCCTCTTTCTGAAGCCAAGCATGGTCAAAGAAATACAGCAGGAAGATTGTGTGAAGTGGGTCAATGGTGGGGACCAGAAGACCCAAGTTCAAGCTCAGGCTGTGTGACTCCCTGGTCTGAGACTTGGGTGCATGGCAGTTGGCACCCCTCCCCCAGGACAGAGGGTTCAGTAAAGTTCTGTTTGGGGGGTTCTTAGCTTGGTTTCCGCCCTCTCCTCCCAGGACGCCTGCTCCCCGGGGCCACTCCCTACCCTCCAGTGTCCGGCTGACTTGGTGCACTGCAGGGTCATGTTGGCCCGGTCCTACAGAGAGAAGAACACAGTCACCTTTGACTCCCTGACTGAAGCAGGGGCAGAATCCAGATGGGTCTGGGTGTTCCTAAACTGGGGTGACCCTTCTCCCATCCCGCCCACCTGCAAACGGCATCTCCTCAGCCACATCTGGGTGTCATCACCTCCAGCCCCAGCTCACAGTGGGGTGGCTGTGGCTATTTGGGTGGAATGAGGTGGATGCATCACTACTCCCCACACACACACACACACACCAACACATACACACAAAAGTGCAATGCTAGCCCAAGGCATGGCTCTCATAGTGGACACATAGGCCACAGAACAGTGGCGGGGGTGGGGGGTTTTGCATTTAAATAAGTCATAGGCAGCAACAGTCTGGACATTCGGAGACTACCTGGGTTATGGTGGCATTCAGGGTGACCAGTGACATCCCCAAAAGGATGCCACCAGACAGCTCAGCTCCACTCCTGCCTCCCACCCAGACTTACCAAGAAGGGCCCAGAGCACATGTCAGAACCAGGACCAGACAAGGTCAGGCTCTTATAGGCAGGAAAGGGGCAGGGGCCCCCGAGGGACAAACACAGACTCAGCAAGCCAGTGGTCGAAACAAAAGCCAGTCCTGGCCAAGGCCCAGGGTGGACATGTCAGCAGCTCTGGCTTTAGTGGGGAGGGAACAGTGGCCCGCCCCAGGGACAGCACTAGGGAAAATGAGAGGTGGACACTCCACCTCCATCAGTTCCACAGGACTCCTGACTAGGACCAGGGAAACACTAGACCTGGGGTCCAGCATCACCTTGACAGTGTGTGACCTTCTGTCCGTCTGCATGATAGGACAGGCATAAGCCAGACCTCAGGGCTGCCGTCTCTACCCTCCTCCACTCCCCACACCTACCCTCCTCTACCACTCCACATGCCCCTGCCTCTTCTAGCTGGGCGTCAGGCTCTGGCTTGAGGCCACTCATTTAAAGGGTGGAGACAATTCTACAGAGGCTTGGAAGGAGGGGCATTCTAAACCCCAGGGGCACGGGGCAAGGGCTTTGGATAGCAAATACAGAGCAGACAGAGCACAAGTCTTCGGAGGGGGAGGTAAGAGTGTTGGTCAGGGCCAGAGCCGGTGCAGTCGGCAAGACCTGTGGAAGGGTCTGTGGGTGTGCACGCAGGAGCAAGAGGCTGCGGCTTGCAAACATGCTTCACGAAGCAAAGCGTGGCGGACAAACACCCAAGGCGTGGAACCCCCTGAACCCTGCCTCTGAGGCAGCCTGAGAAGGGCCTGTCACAGGAGTAGGTAGCACGGCAGGAACCACTTGTGGTAAAACTCGCCCCCGCGGCTGAGCGAGATGACCCGGATAAAGAGCGAGTCTCCTGATGGCCAGGAAACAGCAACACCTCTTCCTTCCTGCAAGAGCAAAAGAGCTGTCACCCATGCGGGACTTGGCGAAGGGTAGATGGGACGCGCGCGGCCTCCACAGGCAACAGCCTGGTCTGCATCCCACACCTGTGAGCTGAGTACCTTTGTGCGGGTTCCTAATGCCTCTGAGCCTCAATTATGTTGTGGATTAAATTGGAAATAAAAAGACAAAG